CCCCCCCCAGAAGAAAGGCCTTGCCATGTGTTTCTGAAAAGTCACCTACTGAAGACCCGTGGCGCAGTTTCACTCTGACTCACGGGGTCACCTGAGTCAAAATCAACAGATGGAAACATACTTTGTAAAAAGCTATCAAAGGGCCCCCTCCATCTTTGTCCTCTTGGGGAGGGGTGAGACTTTCTCGGGACACAGTATACCCGATCCTGAGTTGACTTGGATGGGTCCTGTCAGCCCAAATTTCAGTGTCGTGTGCAGCTGAAGAAAAAGGGGTCTGGCCTGACTCTGCTTCATGACAGCCAAGGGCAGAGAGTGGACTTCACAAGGACTTGTGCCTTGAAGGAAATGCTCGGTGTTTCCTAACACTCTCACTTTTGCCCCAGGCTCCACTTGAAAAGAAACTATAGGCCTTTGGAAATAGTTTCATAGCACAAACTGTTAAATCTAGAGTTCCTCATTGTCAGGAGTAAACTTGCAAACCCGATAGTCACGCTGAAAGTCTACAGATGTTTAAAGTGCAACTGAAGTGGGCATAAAAGAACCCACCAATGTTATGAAATGTCCTTTCCCAGAGTCAGGGTTCAGAGATGGGGGTGGCCATCATACCACCCTTATGTTGCTCTTGGTTTGATTTTTGTGTTGTTTTAGTTGATTTCTAAAGGGAGGCATTTGGGCAGCCTGCACTGGGTCAGAGGAGCCCTGGTGGCATGTGGTTGGTTACTCACTGGGCTGCTAACTGCAAGGGCAGCAGTTTGGAACAACCTGCCAGTTCCGAGGGAGAAAGATTGGCCTTTCTACCCCCAGAAAGAGTGGCAGTCTCAGAAACCCACAGGGGCTCTCTACCCCCAGAAAGAGTGACAGTCTCAGAAACCCACAGGGGCTCTCTACCCCCAGAAAGAGTGGCAGTCTCAGAAACCCACAGGGGCTCTCTACCCCCAGAAAGAGTGGCAGTCTCAGAAACATAAGACCCTGTCTCACAGGGTGGTGAGTTGGCATCGACTTGGTGGCAGTGAGTGAGCTCCGGTAGCTGCAGTCCGGCCATCACCCTGGGCATTCTGTGGGCCACATTGTCCCCTGCAGCTTCTGCCTGCGGCCCAACACAACCCCTCCAGTCAGCCTGTGCAGCATAGCAAGAAGGAGCAGACGGCATGACCATTGCTTGTTTATTCCTTGTTTTAATTCCATTATTATGTGTCTCAGGAAATGCAGGTAGGCACTAAGAGTTACTGGCAAAAATGTATTTGAGTTCTTGCCAACATTTGGGGAAACGATTGAGTTACCTAGAGGAGGGTTCCCCATCCTTTGCTTAAAGTTTTCTTTCCTTTTTCCCTTTTTTGTTTTTTTCTGTCCTTTAGCCCATGAAGAGCATCATGCTTTTGAAGGTGGACGTGGAAAACACTAATTGCACTCTAAAGAATTCTTTACCCTTTGCTGGTTGGTTTTGGAAACGGTCTTAACAGGAGGGAGAGTGAAGAGGAGACCTGCCGGAGCTCTCGCTGTTGGTCACTTTAGGGCAGCGGTCTGTCCTTGCAGATCGGGCAACTAGCACTCCAAATGGCAGGTGGGGGGAGCGGTGGGGGATTGGGGGTGGGCTTCTACAGTCACATGACTTGCTTTTTCTTTCTTTCTTTCTCTCTCCCCACCCTCCCCCCATCTCTCTCTCTCTGGCTTTCTAAATTCTCTGTTCTTTCCCCTCTGATTTTTTACCCTCCCTTTTAATCCCTTGTTCAGTCTCATTATTGTTTTCTCGACTTCTCTGTCACTGAGGCACAAGGAATCAGCTTCCTTTTAATGGCCCTGCCTATCTAGTCCATGAGAAATGTGCACCGTGTCGACGGCACAGTTTTTGAAGGCACACTGTGTGGCGAGGAATCCTGTCACCTGATTATTTGTTGTGACACATTCCTATACGTTCAGTGCTGGGCACTGTTGGTTCTGTCCCAGGGAAAAGAAAAAACATACTTAATCTGATTTTGCACAGACAACACACATATTTTTCCATTTCCCTTTGTAAAACTCCTTAAAAACAAATAAGAGAAAAATAATAGTTGGGTTGCCTAACATGATAACCACAATCACAGCTCACTATCAGGATGTAAATCAAACTGTAGTTCCTTGGCTCACTGGTAGAAATATTTTTAACTAGAATTTCAATTTGGCCTCTTCCAAGGAAGGCGTAGGGTGCAAGCAAGGGGTCTCTCCCCCTAGGCAATCTGGTCCTTCTGATTTCCAGAGGAGGTGATGTGCTGATTGTCTGAACTAAGCTTCTTCTGAACTTCGGGTGAGGGTACCCGCATAGGGCTTTACCGATCCACGCTAACACATTCTGTTAAATGGCCCCCTCTTCTGCTCACCTGGCGTGTAGCTCCTCCATAACCAGTCATCTGCCAAGTGGGCAGCTTCCCGTCTCCCATTTTCCTCCTCTAGTAGCAGGAAGTGAAATCTCACTTGCGCCTTCACAAAGCTGCACCGTGCTTGCCTTCTGTGCGTGGGAGTGAGTGGACCCGGTGAGGTGCACTGCTTGGTGTACCAAAGACCGGGTTTCCTGAAAGAGTCCGGCCACCTCGGGAGCACTGAGACATGCTCAGACAGCACCCATTCCTCCGGGCGCTGCCCAGCTGCCGCTGCTCTGGCCCTGGAAGACGGTGCCTCCTGTGGGCTTGCTTCTGGAGTCTTGAGAGCTAGTGTGTGCTTACCTTTCCCAAAATGCCCTGTGCCCTAGTCATCTTTGTACCTGGAAATTTTCTTTCCTGGTGTAGCATTGACCAGCACAGAGAGGCAAGCTTACTGCAAGCCTCCAGCCAATGTTGGTGAATAAAATTCTCTATCCACCCAATTTAGAGGACTTTCCACAGTATCTGTTTATAAAAGTATGCACTTCACATCCTTATCAACCACATCAAGCATAATAACCATAACCGCACTTAACACATGACATGATAACACATGACAAGAACATAGGTTCTTTCTAAAGTTGAATTTCTGCAGTGACTTCAAAATGAACACTTCATCTACTGTGATCCACTTCTCAGTAGCTGAGACTTGATTCTCTCAACTTTGTGTTAACCTCCAACGTGGTTTTAAATTATTCAGCACAGATTTATAACAATGCCTCTGGACACGAATTAAAATTCCCTTTTTACAATATAAGTATTTTTCTGGTTGATTAGGGGTGAAAAGTTCTAATTGTCTTTATCTTCACTAGATTTGTCATATATATTATCCACAAATAAATGGATTTTGAAGTATTATTTTTGAACTTTACTTAAAACGTTTGTGATGACATGTTCAACCTTTGCCTGTGTGCAGCCATTGAAGTAAAAGAAATAAAATAAATAGGAATGTGAGGCTCACATTAATTGCTTTCTAGCTTCTGCTGTTTATGATCCTGGAAAACATGAGTAGCACATAAAGCAGGTTTTGTCTCAGCGAACATGTTCAACTGTTTCTGACCGTTTGGACAACACTAACTATGAGATGGATTTAATTTGCCTAATGTTAAGAACCTATCATCTAAATGACTTTTAAGAGAGGATTTTGTCAGATTTTGCTTTGGAAATTGTTTTAATTGAATATTGAGTTCATAATAGACTTCGTATGAACTAAGCTGATTTAATCAGTTTAAAAACCCCTCGTTACCTCCTGAGATTAAAGCAGCTGATCCTCTGCTGAGAGATGAGGAAGTGTATTGTGTGGCGTGTGACTGCTGGGAGGCATCTTGCCGCCATGGTCATGGCTAGAGAAGCAGGTTGCATTCAGCCAGGTCACGGCAGGTGTAGCCTTGTTCTCCGGCAAAGTGCTGCCCCCCCCCCCCAAGCCCCAGGACCCACGTGCTTGTCTTTGTGCCCCTCTGGGCCTGTGCTGCAGAGCCAGGAAACCTGACAGGAAGCAACGTGCTCTCTCCTCGCTGCGGGCCCCCACGTTGTCATGTTCCAGGCACTTGTTTACCTCGGGAAAGCTACAGACGTCCTCAAAAGGAATGAATAAGCTCCGTTGAAAATTACTTACTGATACGTCTTGATTTTTTTCTTTTTTTGAGCCCTCTTTGAAGTGCTGACTTACTCAATAGTAAGATTTCCTTCACCACCTCATGCACATTTTAAAAATGAAAGTAGACCTTTTATTTAGTGTGCATATTTAGTATAATGTTGCTGTTAAATGCTTGATGCAACCAATGGATAAAAACACAAGAAAGAAAACGGTTCTAGTAGGCTTTCCATTTAGGTCGACTCTTAAGTTTCCAGCCAACTTCTTGATTTCAGCTCAGATCCACACTATACACACTGTACACGACGTAATAGCTGAAAGAAACGGTGTGTATAATTGGTCCAGTCAATACAATATCCAGCAAACCCTTGGGAGCTGGCGCTGATGGGCCGCCTTCTCTTTTCTACCTGGGACACGGTGCAGATGTGTCGGTCGCTCATCTTAGTGGGAAATGGTGGCGTCCACGGGGTTGACTGTTCTGCATGCCAACTGAACTGTGGCTACACCTACTCCTTGTCTCAGGATGTGAGACTAGAAACCAGAGCTGGGTAGTGGGGTCCCCGCCTCCTTCACCTACGGCTATGTAGGCTGTCAGCCTCCTCCCCAAACAAGTCACCCAGTCTGGTCATTGTGGTGGTTGGCCGTACGTATCAGATATCTTCATTGTACTCTAGTGACTAATGTGGTGTTGGGAAATCACCTGTTTGTGGAAGAGGTAGCTCTTTGCGATTAGAGGATTGACCTGGGAGGCAGCCACCTTTGGTGCCTGCACGAAGCTGGCAACCTTTGGAGCCAGCACATGGTGGCGCTGCCTTGCAGCGGACGGTGCTGGCTCCGCAGTGGCTCCTCAGCACCTACCCAGCAGTGTTTGGGTGAATATTTTAAGAAGCTACCACATTTTGCTCTTAGGAGTTCACACACACACACAAAAGAGATTTGAAAATGTAAAGATGATCCCAGTGATTATTACAGGAGATCTCACACACCTCCCCAAAACAAGTCCAGGATAAAGCACCCCCGCTGTGTTAAAAATCTCAGCTCTTCAGCTCTCATTTGGGCCCAGAACCAAGCCAATTGGCTGTGCAGAGAAAGCATGACGGCAGCATCGGAGCGATTTCATCACAGTGCCCAAAGGGAGAACAAAGGTTAGAACAGTATCGATTTTCTTAGCTTCCTGAATACAGAACACGCCCTTAAAAAACAAACAAACGAACAACTGGGAGTCTGCCACTCACCTTTCCTTTCCCACATTGTATGTTTCACGCATTACAGGTGGAAGTAGAGGGCTGCCTGTCTGTAATTTCTTTCTTGGAAGGATATATTCTGGTCAGTTAGAAACCGTGTTAGGCCTCTGCTGCCTCGGGTGGTAAGCAGCCCAGCTGTCTGCCTCAACAGAAGGGGAAGAAGAAGGGCAGGATCTAGGTGGAAGGGACGGTCCTTCGAGAGCTTGTGTTCCTGTACAGCAAGGACAGGGGGACCCCCCTCCGCATTTCCCAGGAGCAAAAAGGCCAGGGAGAGCCCAGACACATCCAGTTATACGGTTCAGTTTTTGCTTTCTATTATTTTGTGTGTGCATCAAAGTCATAGAACTGCTTATTTAGTGTGAGCCGGTCAAGCAGAAAATCAGTGTGTGGAAGCAGTGCGCCATCTTACAGCCACTGCCCTGTAGCTGAAGGAAAACACCAGGGCTCTGAGAATTCATCAGGGAAGGGACCTTTGAGATCATCTCACGGCTCAGCTGGCAGAAGGATCGGTGGGGCACTTAAACTCATATGTGGGTGGCGCCACCCCAACCTCAAGATTAAGGCTTTTGGTGTGGGAAGCCTGGCTTTCGGCGTGTGGACCAAGTGCCCCTGATTCTGATGCTCAGGTTCTTGGGCTGTGCTTTTATCCAACCTCCTCGTATGACAAATGAGAAAACCCTTCTCCCCTCCCCTCTCCTCACCCCCTATCTCCCGCGGGTGACCTGATTGAACTGTCTCTCCTCATCCTCTGGAGGCTGGAGAAAAGGCCTCACTCCCAAGCAGGAGGACTTTATGTCCAGGGCCACAGCAGCAGTAGGCAGCCCATCTCCGTCAGCCCTTCCGAGGACACCTTTCAGACAGAGTCGGGTCACCCCCTTTCTAAATATCCTTTCAGCCTATTAAAAGGAAAGAAATTAATGTTCAGGGAAACAAAAGTCGTTACTCCATATGTGCAGTAACTACTTTTCTATAATGTCTTATGACATCTGGGGTTCAGCATCATTGAACAAGAGTAAATGAATATTACAGAGCTATAAAAGTGCATGTAAAATAACGCAACACGGTTCAAGGGACTATCAAAGTAGCCTGGGAATGAATTGCTACTAAAATTAATTGTCACTTCCAAATGTAGCTTAGCAGAGCTGTTACCAAACTAAAGGGATTCCTTAATCCACAGAAGTGTCCAAAATAATCAATAGCCCAGACCGCACAAACGATAGGTAAAAGTCATTGTGAAGTCGATACTGTTTTGTCCACCATTGCTGCTGAAAGTGAAGAGTCCCATTGTATTTGTGTATGTCGAATGTATCTTGTTAGAATATCCAATGAAATGGCCTTTTGGATATTCTGTGCTCTTGTGTCCTTCAGAGAACGTGGAGGTGAAGGAAGCCATCTATGTTCAATGTTTTTGTTTCCGTTGCCACCTACCGTAAGACAAAGAATCTCATTCAAAGGAATGCAATATTTTTTAAGGAACTGCTCTTATTGAAGCCAGAAAACTTTCCTCGAACTTGGGAACCAGTGTTTATTCGGGATGTATTAGACCAGCAGCCAAACTATCGAGATGAGTGGGAAGCACCTGGGCTATTATGGACTTATCTATAGAAAAGTCAAACAGGGTCACTTGTCTTTTTCATGTAAAGAAGTGACCTTTTGTGAGGGTTTAAGGCATTGAAATGTGAGCTTTAGCCTTGCCCCTTGTATGATGATTGGGGAATATTCAAGGGCTTTAATACACGCATTGTTAACAGGCTTGTGTTTCCATATCAGGCTATTAATTTGGGGAGCATGTATTCCCCAAGCCGAATGTGGCTCACCACCATTGTATGGCTTTCTTTAAAAAGAAGCCTGCATCTTCCCAGTGTTTGTTCAGTAACAAGTTTCCAACGCTTCCATGTCTCTTCCCTGAGAACTCCATTTCCTTTCAATGATTACACCAAAGAATTTCAGAAAGAGGAGAGCTTCGGTGTGGGGAATCACATACTATTTGTCCCCCAATCAACATCTTCTCAAATGCACTGCCAGCGTTCTAAAATGGTTTTACCTGTGTCAGTTGAACCAGGTTGATCTGCTTTATGTTTGGGATCTGTTGTACCCCACCTCCCCCCATTGTATACCATCTGTGCCCTGTGTAGTTGGGGCCTTTCCACATCTGGCCACAAGCTGGTGTGTGTAATGCCCTTCTTTTGATCTGGCTTCATCGAGTGATTTGCTTAGTATTTTTAAGGTCAGGCTGAAAAACTTTTCTGTTCCCGTTATTTTTTATTTTATATTGCGTGTTGTGTTTGATGTTCAGATACAAGTGAGAGTTGCTTTTATAAGTCAGTACTTTTTATTCCAGCCCTTTTGCAGCAAAAAGGTAAGACTAGACTGTACTTTTCTTGCTTGAAAAAAATGTAGTGATTTATGTGCTGGGTGCAAATGTTTACATTATTCATGGGAAAATTCTTGGGTTTTTTTTTTCTTTTCTTTCCTTTAAGAGTCCAGGAGTCTGTTGCTAGGGGTTGCCTGCCTACCTTCCCCAAGTGTTCATTTCATGAGGCGTGTGTAGGTGTTGGCTGGCTTGCCGAGGGCTTGTCCCCAGCTTTTGAAAACTGTTCTGATTCGTTGCCACAGTCTCACTTGGGGTTGGACTCACCTGGGATAGAGGTACCCTCTTCAGCCCTGGTTTAAAATCGCGGAGACCTTTAGCAACCAGGTAGCCTAATGGGAATTGGGTTGTGGGTGTGCTCGTCCAGTACCTCCTGAGAGCTGCCCCCACCTGCTCCCATGCCTGTGACGCCCCCTGCAGCGGCCTGACATGAGTAGGCGCTTCTTTGGGCCGCACTCTGACGGGATGGGATGCAGCCGTGGCTGTGCCTTACACTTCTTTGTTCAGCACGTTTGTTTCTCAGAAAACAGCATTTGACTTATTTCCTATTCGCCCTTCACTAGGATTGGTGCCGTTTAGAATAGTTCCGTTACTCTGATTTCTCTTTTGTCTTCTAATTTGCCCTTGAGATTCCAGTGTCCCAAATATGGCTGTGTATATGAAGTGAATATGCATATTCTTTCTGGCTGCCTAATGCAGCCCCTTAAAGACAAATAATACTGATGATGATGATGATGATGATGATGATAATAAAGGG